TTTGTATTTAATTTTATGTTTAAATTTGGTAAAACAGCAACAGGATGTTTGTTTGAAATTTGAGCAGGTTGCTTGTTTATCGAACAAATCGAACTAGTCAAACTTAGTTGGTTCGAACAGTTCGCGAACAATTCAATTATATAAACGAACGAACACGAACGTAAATTTTTGTTCGATTGTTAAACGAACGAACACGAACACGTTCGAAAATTAGTTGAACTCGAGCTCGAAAAGCTTAAGCTCGGTCCGCTTCGGGTCGATAACAGCACTATTACCAACCATACCTCTACTTACGAATTACCGCACGATAAATTTAATCCACCAATGCTTAAAATCAACATGGTAAAAAGGTGAATAACTGAGACTCCAAAACATCTAAAACACGCATTCTAGCGACATCCATTGTACACATTTTGAGCAGTCATGCACGTAACTCGGCAAACAAAAATTACACTTCTGAGATTCACAGCAGGTAAAAGCTCGAACCACATGCATCAAAAGCAAGGGATTTTGTAGATCGAGTTATGTAATCACACCTTTTTGATGATTTGGACAACATCTTCATCTTCCAGTTCGTGCTCCTAGTGGTCAGCAGAAGAAAAGTATTAATAGATCGATCATCCATTATTTAAAGACACATTATAGTGAGGGAGGAGAATAATAATAATAACAACAAATAATTAAATGAAGTATAAATGAAATGACAAGTTGAAAGAACTTTACCCTTCCGACCCTCTGGGGTTTGTGTTTCACGCTTGAGCCCCAGACCAGTGCACTACAATTTATACAGAAGAACCCGTAAGTTATTTTACACATAGACATTTGCTCTTTCCTTATGAAATCTCTTAAAATTGTGAAGGCAAAGCAGTTCAAATTAGCAATTAATTGTAAAAATAAGATTTGGGTTTGTAGGAACTTAAGAAAAAAGGGTTATGATCAATCAATAAGGAAGAGCGTTTCAGTGTGCAGGAACGAAACTTAACTATTTGAACTGTTTAAGCATGTCCTTGTGGATTCTATTGCAGAAGTCCTCAACTGTTCTTTTCTTGGATGACAATATAACAGGATCTTCATAGTCTGGATTCATCCCCTTGGGCTTTGTATATATGCGAGTTAAATCGAGATACTCCCAAACTTTTTCCAGAAGGCCATCGAGGTTCCATTCCAAGTGAGCACTGGAGCAAAAATACATTTGTACATAAAAAAATAGTGAGTGGATGATTAGAAGGACAAAAACAACTCATTGAGCCTTTGCATGCACAAAGTTCAGCCCAACAACAAAGGAAGAAATAAGCATAAATCATAGAACTTATGAAGGAGAGTACCCGAAATGATTTCAGGAAAAATTAAATCAATTGAAATACACAAGAATCATATTGGGAAGGTTACAGATGGAGCCTATACAAAAATCATTGTAAAGTGTTTCATCTGCTAATGCAAAGAAAGAAAACACCAACAACAAATATTTATCGATACCAATCAATTTAAATGAATTAATCTAAGTTTACTGTGGTACTTTTATTTATTGTGGTTATTGTTAAACTGGAATTCGCCCAAATTGAATAAAAAAATAAACATGATTTGAAAAGTGATAAAGATTCAAGAAAATGAAATGTGAAGGTTTATTTAATCTGAATGGTAACTAGAAGCTTGAAGCCTCCAAGGGAAACTTCTGCACAACAAGAACTACTGTTGCCCAACAGATAAACCATAAAGCTATTACAATATGATTGTTATTGCCTACACCTCAGGAGAACCAATATTTATATTTTTTTTTGACATAATATAAAAGGTAATAATGATAAATAAACTTATATTTATATTTAACTAACATAATATAAAAGGTAATAATAATAATGTATGAAAGTTTATTTGATACACATGGTATCCAGAAGCTGAAGCTTTCCAGCAACCCAGCAAGAACTACCCAAAAGCTAAAGCTATTGCAATATGATTCTTACTGCTTACAGTTCTCTCCTAGAGAACCTATATATATACAACTTACATAATATAAAAGGTAATAATAATAATAGAACCAATATTTATATTTAACTGACATAAAATTTAACTGACATAATATAAAAGGTAATATCATTAATAGAAGCAAGGTAACAACCACTCCAAAATCTGTAGATTTATTCTTTTTCCCTTGGATGCTTAATTATTATTTCTTCTTCAATATATTTACCATGATTTATGGCTTATTTAACGCGATCTCTATCCAGAAGGTCGGAGCAATTGTTAGGAGTACAGGATCAAGAAAAAGAGAAATATGTAATTTCATTGATGATCATATAATAGGGACAAACAAGAAGGATAAAACTTTCCGAAATGTATGAAATCTCTCCAGCAGTGGCAGCAAGAAACTTGTCGAATAGCTTATGTTGTTACAAAATAAATCTGTTCTTCCTTAACCTATTGACCGCTCTCTCTTATACAATACAATCAATCAATCAATCAACAAGCAGTTAAAATCCCACTAAGTGGGGTGGGCTATATAGATCACATGTCGCCATCGTGCTCGATCAAAGCACATGCCCTCATTCAAATTTAAATATTTTGAATCACTTTTATTGTCTTCTTTCAAATTTTCGTAGGTCTACCCCAACCCATTTCAATTTGCGTTCTTATACTATACACTACAACTAAATAACTAATATGAAATGATAATAAGAAATAAAAAGAGTAAGAAAATATTAGCATTTAAGGGATAATAGTCAAGATCCTTAAACTGAAGCACCAAATAAGATCCCAAAATTCAGCATAAGATAATCTAAATCGATAGCCTTCCATACTTTCACCTCAATCAAAATGCATAACTACATGTCAACCATTAGCAAATTGGATGGACGGTTACCTGACTGGGCAATAGTGAGGAAGTTTGTCCAGAATCTCGAGCTCCTCAAGTGTGATTTGATCAATCTTATTGACGGCATATATGCAAGGAATATATACCCTACTGCCTTCGATGACATCTATGAGGTCATCAGCAGTTGCATCATATCTAAGACTGATATCTGCATTGTGAATACGATACTCGCCGCAAATTGCCTTCACTGTCTCGAGGTCAAGATGCGTATTTGTCACTGTAGATGTAAGATTGAGTCCTCCTTTGTCTTTCCTCCTGAATGTTAAATTTGGTGGTTCCTTGTTTAGCCTGTTACCAGAAAACAAGATATGTTGTATATTTTACCAAATGAGCAGTATGTGGAGAATAACCTCTCACACGCATGCCTATATGCATGAGAGAGAACGGATAAAACAATCGTTTACCATCAGTAACTATGAAACATTAATATCATATTTATCCATGTGGTACAATATACGCACTATTGTCACCGCAGTACAAGGGTGATTTCAGGTTTAAGGAGAACATATGAATCTCAAGAGGACAACTAATGACAACAATTTTAGAAGAAACTATCCTGTGACACGAGTAGAAGCATCATGTAAGGTACTCACAGCCAAGCAGTGAAGACAATTATACAACAAAAATAAAAATAATACGTATGTTACCTTATACCAAACCCCTCTAGCTCTTTCTCTATTAGACGTTTATGGGTAATTGGTTTTATAGCATCCAGAACAATCAAGATGCAGTTGCATGTCCGAGCTGTACTTATAACCTAATCCAGAAGACAAAGTTAAGTGTTAATTGAAAGGATAAACATCAAAACCTTGCCTGGGACGACACCATCTTACTCTGCAGGTGATATACTATAGCTAAAAACAAACGACACATATTTAAAAGAGTTGTTGGTTATATAATTTCTTAGCATGGAATAACTTCACACGGTGAAATATGTAAAACGGTCATCATGAGGGAGCTAGATTCCACTTCAGCCAATATTATTTACCTCACAGTTCCCTTACTCTATATAGACAACCACAATAGAGGACACGTTCACTGATATTTTATTTTATATTTATCGATTTAAAAATAAGATCATTTCTTTTGGGTGTTCGGGCAGGAATTTCAGACTCAAGGAAGTGTTACCTGGTGTGCAAAGTGGAACTGATCTTTAGTTTCTCCAGGTGGTGATGGTAAAACTTAAATTATGATAGTTTCTTTTTGATATTTTCTTTTGTATATGTTCCACCTTGTAATAATGCTATTACTTTACCTATTGGTGAATAGTTGTCGACGTCACAATGTCATAAACAAACCCACAGAGTACCTTATGTAGGAAAGTGCCTGAAAATTTTCCTCCCTTGAGTATGCCAAGATGGAAACTATGCTAGCAAGAGTGGTTGGTTTCCCAATGAATTCATCAGCATTTTTTTTTTTTCTTGAAGAGTTTGAAATCTCTACGGCCGACTAACCATTTAATATGTTTCTAATTTCGGAACCAAGAGTCGTTCTTACGACTTCCGAAAAAATATAAGCTGCATCGTCACAGTGACAATAAAGAGCTGTTTTCATGATTTGGGATTATGCAGTAGAACTAAGCTCCATATTACGCAATCACATAAAATAAATAAGTGAGAGACAGTAATAGGTGGAGAGACGGGTGAAGTTGTACATTACCTGTCTTCCTCTACCCTTGCCATCTTTCGCACCCTCAATAATACCAGGAAGATCCAGCAACTGACAAAGCAAGAACAAACAATCTAGAAACTGTACTGCAACAATATTTATGTGCACTCTTCCTTAAAACCCAAAAGCATCAACAACTTTTAAGAAGAAAAAAAATGTCATCATGGAACTCCCTTTGTTCTAAACTCTTGCTTGGCATTTTCATTGATCATATGTCTTGATTGCCATAATGGGCCATTAATAGAATAAGATGGAAGTGATAAGTAAAAAAATATATAAATTATAAAATAGATGTATCAGTCACCAATTTGAGACAAAATTAGTTGCCAGCCAAGAATATTAAGTTATGCCGCCAAAAAAAAGGAGGAATAAAAAGACTAGTGTGGGATTTTTTTCCTTTTTCCTTTTTCTTTTTATAAATACCTGAAATAATAAACTTTGCCTTTGACCCAAATCATTCATGTGGTACCAATAGTGAGATGACTAACTAATTACAACTGTCAATTGTACAAAAAAATTATTGCTCAATGTTACGTGGAAGCTGCACCTTTAAAAACTCAAAGTCTCAGTTAAGTGAACCTAAAAATAAAGCTTCATACACCCAAGGGAGATGACCATACCTGAATTTTAGCACCCCGATATGTGATCACACCAGGAATGCAAGTTAAAGTGGTGAATTCGTATGATGCTACCTGCAGTTCAAGAAAATAATTGGTATGGGAAGTTCATTTGCAGCATATGAACTTGAACTAAGCTGACGCCGGAAGAAAGATGGTTAATTCTGTGGTCTTTCTATTTGGCTGAAGTGAAAGGGAGAGGCTATAATATCTACCCAGCTAGTAATTGCACTAGCGTGGTATTTTCCTTGCTATATATCTTTTTTTAACCAAAACAATTGAAATGTAACAAAGGGTTGGTAATTGGTACTGATGATAAAGGTTGTGAGTAACAGAAATTTTACTTAAATGCATAAAATCAATATATACTGTATAACATAGGACATCAGATGACTAATATTAAACTTAGTATAATAGACTGTCAGAATCTAGGCTTCCTACAGAAACCTTTTCAGCCATCTTTTCCTTCTTTCATTTTTCCAATTCTTGATAGGTTTAAAGCATGTAGAAACATAAGATAAAACTTCTCTCATCTATGTAGGTAAGGAAAATAATTATTTACGCATTTCAGGCATTCATAAAACTAGTTCTGTAGTTTATGTATTTGTTTAGCCATTATTGCTACAACAGTTATGTTTGCAGTACAAAGATAATATATTTTCTCGCTATTTTCTTTATCTAGTTCAATTACCTCATTTGGTAAAGCAGATCATTCTAACTCTGAGATACACAATTGTTGCTATACAATATATTGCAGTTCTAGTAAACATATTCAAAATTCAAAGAAAAGACAGAAACAATGAAGAAACACATTAACAGCGCCTGTATCATGCTACAAGAGCTGTAAAATATTTGCTGTAAATGATACTAAATTCCATATTTTGTCCCACAATATATCAACAAATGATTGTTCGTTCAAGTTCCTCGGTAAAGCAAGAACAACAACCACAAACTTCAAGAATTACAAACCTCTGAAAAAGTTCCAGTCAATTTGTTCAAGAGTGTTGATTTCCCGACTGAAGGGAAACCCACAAGGCCAACTCTTGAATCACCACTTTTTGTAACATCAAAGCCTTCCCCAGCACCACCACCTCCTTTAGATGCTGGTGTAAGAATTTCCCTTCGAAGTTTTGCAAGTTTCGCCTAAGACAGATCATTCGACCACAGACCAATTAGCATGCTGAAAACTAATCATTTCAGCAAAATCTTAATTTAAGTCCTCAAAGAGATGGAAATTTAAAAAATGAGTTCCGTTTCACAGAGGTTCTTCTCAGTTATCCAATGCGTGACATCCAAATGCAAATTTCGTTAAATGAGATTAATCAACCATCATATAGTTTTTTAACTATGTAAACTCATGTGGATTGAGCACGCTCAACGAACACGATCTACAACACAATCATGCTCTATATAAATAAGGGCAACAAAGTTCCATTTTCTAGTTTTACAGCTGAAAATATTTATTTCCTACTTGAACATTCTACAGCATAAAGAAGAATTCTACGCATAAATAAGAATGCTGCAAAATAATCATACTAATTCCCACGAATGTTGTAGCATTACGTGCCACTCTAACCCTTATCACTCACAATTTTAAAGGATCGAGGTTCTATTCTCTGTAAATGGAAGGGACTGCACCGCCTTCACTAAAATTTGAGAAGGGGCCATTGGTAGCACAATTAAGGACAGTGTGGCCAATAGGAGAGGTGAAAAAACTAGCATTGCTGGGCAGATAAGAAAATAAATAAATTATGCATCTTGGGAGCAACTAATATTCATCTAACAGAATATTACAAGCACGACAGATACATACCTTCAACAAGCCCAGGTGATGGGCTGTTGCTTTATTTTTCTGGGTTCTTGCCATCTGTAACAAGAACAAGAAATAAAACTTCTTGAATATTACATCGCCTATTCGCAGTTAATCAAGTTTAAGATACAAACGGAAATAAATTACTTAAAACTAAACAAGTTCCTAATGAAGACAGACATCACAGTAGGCATGTCACTACAAAGATAGGCACAAAAAAATGAACAGCTGAAACTTCCAATAACTCCATTTCTAAACAAGCAATTGTGGTAACTACTAGGGAAGACAAACAAGCGATCCTGTTTCAGCTCTTACAGTTGGAATAAGCAGAAAAACACATATTGCCACAAAACCCTAAAAATTAACTCGGCGAGCAGCATAAAACTAACAATTCCAAAAATAAAATCATAATCGCGCAACGAGATATAATCACTTTACGAATATATAATTTTTTTGTAACAAATTTTGCTCATGACCTCATCTTCGATGTCCTTGATTTTCTGCATAACAGTAGCCATTGTTGGTGAAAATTGGGACCTCCGAACGACGTCGTCAAGCGGCGGAGGAGAGGATTGTAGGCGCCGCAGCTAGCAATTATCGAATGCCGGAGCTGAAAGAGGAAATGAAAATGAAGGAATGGGTCCGGTGAATATTTTGTTCTAAAAGAAGCCGAGATAAAAGTTTGGGTTCACTGATTCTGGAAATTACTAATGGGCTATTAATTTTTATTGGACTCGATGGGTTTATATTTCTGGCCCACTTAAAATAGCACCAGAAAAAAA